TAATTAAAATAAAAATATGATTAATAATTAATTAAAAAAAAATAAAATTAATTAAAAAAAAATAAAATTAATTAAAAAAAATAAAATTATTTAAAAAAATATAATTAATTAAAAAAAAATATAATTAATTAAAAAAATATGATTATTAAAAGAAAAATAATAAAAAAATTATAATAAATACAAATTTATTTAAAGTATTATTATTTATTTATTAATTTGAAGATTTATTTGAGAATTTTTAAGTTAATAAATAAAAAGTTAATTAAAAAAAGAAATTATAAAAAACATAAACTTATTAAAGTATTATTACTATTTTTTACCAATTTAAAGATTTTAAGAATTTTTAAGTTAGTAAAAAAAATTAATTATAAAAAAGAAATTATAAAAAATATGAACTTATTTAAAATATTATTATTATTTATTTGCTAATTTAAAGATTCCAGATTTTTGTTTGAAAATTTTTAAGTTAATAAAAAAAATTAATTAAAAAAAATATAAAGAATATGAATTTATTCAAAATATTTTTAAATAGTAAAAATTAAATATGAATTTATAAGTTAATTATTTTACAAATTATATATTTATTTAATAAATACTATTATATTATTTATTTTTTGAACACAATCCAAATATAATATTTAAAACTAAATTGAATACTAATTTTTTTATTTAAATATATATATTAAATAGAATTTGATTTACTTTACTATCTTATATTTTTATTATATTATAAATTCTTTTTGATATAAAGTAAATTAAATTAATATAGATATTAATATTAATTTTATTATATCTTAATTTACAAGTCTTTTTATTTAGAAAGATACTAAAATAATTATTAACTTTATTTTATAAATATTTAATAGAATTCAGATGAAAAGATTATAATAGTTAATTTAATACTTAAATTTATTATTCTAAAATAATAATTTTATTAAATTTGCTATATTTAAAATCTTATCTTGTTAAAAAATAATATTTTAATAATGAATTTATAATTATTAATAGTATTCATAAGATTTATAAAGTATTTATTAATATAATTTAGCATTTATTATATAATTGATTTTACAAAAGTTATTAATACTTTAAAATATAAAGCAATTCCAAATTATTATTAATTCATTTTCAAACTATTATAAAATTGATTTAATGATTTTTCTAAATATTAATAATATTGCTTTTTATCTAAATCAAAAATTTTAAACTTGAACTTATCAAATCAAATAATCTTTGATCCATCTATAATAATTTAATTTTTATAATTTTGTGCAAATTCTAATTATTTTACTTGGTGTGCTTGACTCAGATAGGACTTTTTTATTTTTGATACCAAACTGTTATTATATAATATATAATAAATAATAGATACTGAAATATTAATATTTTCTTTTTCTTGTGTATGTTTTTGAACTTTTATTACAGATAAATATCTTTAGGAGATAATAAAATTAGTAATTATTTTTTATTGATTTATTTATGGTAAATAGTTAACTAGACTTTATTGTAACTTTAAGAAAATGTTGTTTGTACAATTTTTTATTAATATGAGAAATTGTTGATGGGTTGATATTTCTTGACTTAGTTATTTGTCTTGTATTATATTCATTTTGAAGAGAAAAAAAAATTTGTGCCTGTTTTTTGACATCATATGGCATTGCATTATTATATTGTAGTTTTTTGACCAAAAAGTTATAATATTGTATGATATATAAACAATACTTCTTAAAATTCTTTTTTACATAATATTTATGTGTTATAACTATAACCATCTGATCTTTGTATAAAACAATCATAAATAATGCAACATGTGTTTTGCACTAATTATATATTTATTTTTGAATTGGAAATAATAATGAATTTTAAAATTTTAATATATAAAAACGATTATTATTAACGAACAAATTATCAAAAAACAAAAAGGTTATCTTCTAATTTTCGCGAAATATTTTGATTTAACGAAAATTTATTTTTTGTTGCATTATGATCGCTAATATGAAGATATACTTGTCTGCGATTCCCACCGCAGCTCTTCACGTGCGCCATCATACTTTGAAGATTATGTTAGAGAATTCCCTTATTATATATATAAATTTCATTTTATTTTTTAAAAATCACAATATATATCTATAATATGTTCAAATCATACTAATGGAATACTAAATTCAGTTGGCAGTATGCTTGACAAACTGAACTGTAGTTACGTAAAGTTGTTACTGATAAAATATTAGTATAAAAGTTAAAAACAAGTAATATGGTATTATTATCAAAAGGCAGTTGAATAACATTACTCTTCACATTACGATTTTACATACGATACACAATCGTTAACGCAGAAATCAACTTCCACACATATAATAATGTTTTATTTATCCTAGTGTTCGTAATCATTCTAAAATTAGAAGCTGGCTGGGCCAGCTACTGATGAGTCTTATGCTGACTTGGCCAGCTACTGGCCTCGAGCCAGTTCATCCATCTACCGTCGAGAATATCGTAGTTCACTTTTTTCATTTAGATGCTGAAACCACTGGCTGTGCACATTTATTAAATTTCTTTGTGAACATATGGATCTTCAGCGCCGGCCCTGCCATCCATAGAAATCTTCATGTCAAGTTTACGATTCCTGCTGGCTAGCTAGCTAGCTAGCTGCTAAATGGCTATGAACACTATTTATTCATCATTTCAAAGTTTTAAATAAAAAACTACGTACACATAATCATTAACCATTTTATAAATAAACTCAAAGATGTATTTCGAATACAGTCAAAGCTCTATAACGATCCTCTTATAAAGCAAGATCTGGTTATTACGGACTTTTGATAAATTTCCGGTTATGACAAAAAGCATTTGTTTATTACGATTTTTATTATAACTGCAGAGATATACTCGTCAAAAAAATCACCACTGCAGTGGATGTTTTGATCATCATAACCGAATTATGGTCTAGTAAAATTAAAGATATCGACAGTTAATAAAACAATGCGCGAAAATTAGACAACTATTTCCATTTGAATGGATCCCTTTTAACAAAGTCAACAATGTTGGATATCTTGTAAAAGAGGCTTTGGATCAATTTATAGAGCATTGTTGCCAAATTACAGAGAATAAATTTCAATAATAAAGACATACGAAGTTGTGTTGAAATCATTATGTAATTCAAAAAGCAAATTACAGTACAATACCAAAAATTGGAACATTTAATTGAAATAATTTTAGACCTGAGAAAAATTCATCTATGCATCGAATTTTCACCCCGGAAATACATTAATAAGGAATCTTATTGATTTGGGTTTACCAGCCAGCAGATATTAAAAAAGCTAATCAAGAAGTTTACAGATTATTCCTTTAATAGTCCAAAGAACACATGCTGCAGATATTTATAGCTTTGAGATGGTTATGTACGAGATTATAACAGGCGAACGACCATTCGGTGAGCGGAGTCATAGTATACGACATCTATATAGGAGAACGACTTAAGATACCAAATAATGTTCTTAGATGATATGATGCAAGTTTATTAGTGAAAATGTTGGGATCCAAAAACAGTTCAATTGCTGAAGAACTTATCTACTCTATTTCCCGTATCTATATCAACTAAAAGAAATAGATGAGAGAATGCCATTGCAAAAAGCATTCATACAAATATAAACAAAGGCAGTTTATACTAGTCTTCCAGATGATACAGGTGCTTTTTAAAATTATATCGAATATTTAGGATCTATGTTTGTATGTTCCAAAATGAAGGTAAATCTGCTATTAATTAATTGATTACTCTTTTCTTTTATAATTTTTATTAAAATATATTAGAATATTTGTTTGCATACAACTCGAATATGTGACTACTGGATGTGATATGGATGTTGATTACTAAGTCTACAAGTATCGGTATGTCTCAAACGAAGCAATTGAAGGTGAAAATTTTTTAGCTATGTAGGCGACTGTTCACAGTAATAGTTCTTAGTCGATTATAATTTTCGCTTATATGTTTTTATTTGCTTTTATTTTATAATGCCAGCATTTGTCTCATAGGAGTTCGATATTGATATCGAGAATGATGGAAAAGATACCTAAACAAAAATTGCATAGTTAAATCAATCATCTAGATACAACGCAAGTTTTTTTTTGTTAACAACGAAGTATTGAATATCGTGCACAATTGTTATTTTTTTTTTTAACAAAAACTATTTGAAATATGTTCGATTCTTCGGATAATAGCGATACGTATACGTATGTAATGATTTTAACTATTGCAGATAAATTCTTAATTATATTCAGATTCGTGTCGTAACGATAACGATAACAATATAAACAATTTGATTTGCCCGCAAATGGAAGGTATGACTATACGTACGCATATACATCTTCTTACAGGAATCAAAGCTGATTTTGCCGCTTTATCGATTCATTGAACGTCCATTTATGTGAATGCACATTTCTGATTTCATTTTACAATGAAATCTTCCCACAGGGATCAAAGCTGATTTTTACCCCCCGGTTTATTGAAATTCCATTTATGTGAACGTTACCGTTACTCATAATACGCGTATGACACAGATTTGATGTAGATGTGCCTTTTATCGTTATCGTTATTGTGCATGTGTATGCAGTACGTAGTCTAGACACGCTGATTTGTCAAGTATAAAAACTAAGTCAATAATTTTGTAAATAAAAGAACTTTTCTCAAACGCTTGGTTAATAATAAAATAGACAAGTTGAAGAGAAATCATTGATGAATTTGTGTCATAATTCATAAAAGTAATTACCGAAATTTTTTCTCTTTTGTCGTCTTTATTTTTATTAAGGTAAGACACAGCGAAAACGCGAAAATTGAGCTTGAATAAAACAATATTATTTATACATGATGTGATTAAAGTGTAATTTGTGTTCAAGCGACACAATGCCTAGTGTTAAAAAAAACTCGAGTTATCTGATATGAAGAAAGAACCACAATATAATATCAATTTTCATTTTCATCTCAAAATTTCTATTAGATTTAGCAAATGAATAACGATATTGAATTCGAGCTGATTATCGGTAATCGTCGATCCGAACCCAGTGTCGACGTTTACAAAATCAAAATGAACCTGGCCAAAATCGAGAAGGAAACGCTCAGCATCCCATCTGTTAATCGTATTTGGAGCTGGAAGCCGGGTAAGCGGGATAAGCCGGAATATAGTAAATTTAGTCCTGCAGAGATCAAGCCAGTGCTCTACAAGGAGAAACCTGCTGACAAGGGGCAACATGCTATTCTAACTATCGACGATATCTACGATAACAATACCAACAAATATTTGTATTCTGAGGTGCTTGTACTGCCATACATCAAAGACACTAATGGCCATCCGTTGCCCCCGAAGTCTCCGTTGCTAAAGCTGCCGTTAAATGGAAATATTGGTAACTGGCACAGTGTGGAGCTGATCCCTGATTCTAATGGTTTACTCTGCTTGGTCGCAATCGCAGACTCGTATGGAACAGTACACGTGTTCACAAAAGAAGGAAAACGGAAAAACACTTTAAAATTGCCACATGCGCATGGGCTCGTTTGGGATAACAAAACATCGACTCTATTTGCACTTGGCCATACGGATCTGCAGACGTATCAGTTAGACCCCAAGGATCCCACGAATTTAAAGTTATTAACAACACTCGACTTCTCTGAACACTACGAAAAGAAAAATGAGAGCGAGGAGAATAAAGACGGTGGGCACGACCTATGCCCTGTTCCGGGCGAGAGGAAGCTGTTTCTGACAACGGGTGAACGGACATTTAAATTCGACATAGACGAGTATGAGAAGCTCATTCCGAAAGGAGGGAAGATATTAGAATGCTATAATCTTAAGAAAGGAGAAAGGATATTAAAACCATATCAGCCAATGTTTAAGATAGATAGTAAGTATTGGCGAAATATCGCGTCAGACAATGTTCCCCCAGCGGAGAAGGGGTTGAAAAACAGGGTAACACCTATGAAAGGGGGAGTGAAATCAATCTCTCAGGTCCCCGGGACGAGTGTTGTCATTGCTTTCGCGGCGCCTTGGTTCGCTGACGGTTATGGTGTGCTGGCATATTACTACAATTCGGATACACTGCTGGTTGCCACAGGCCCAGAGGATAAGCCTCTCCCAGATGATAAACTTTTAGACGTTGATCTAACTAACAGTCATAAGATTAAATTTTCGGCAGCAACCTTCTATAAGGTGCGGGTCTTGGCCTTTCCCAAATGACCTTGAGAATCCGAGTGGCCTCCGTTTGGGATCGTATCTGCCTCACAAGTAATAATTTAGTAAGAGGTATTTATCAAAATTTTTTTACTGTTAGGTATGGGCAATGGTTATTGGATGGATGATGGTGGTGTTATAATTTTTTCGATGATTATAAAATAAAATATTTGCTACTACAAAAGCATTATGTTGAAAGAACATTAATTACCAAGATCTATGATCATCTTTCCTTTCACTAATGATTGTTCTTTCTTTTTCTGAAATAAGTAGGTTATTCTTTGGTTGACTGCGAACTTATATGTAATTCATAAAATCTTTATCTTCGCTGGAATATGATTGATTCTTAGTTGATATTTTCGGTGAAGAAATCTTTGTTACATTTATAAAAATGGTGCTAAATTTAAGCATTATTCACTTTTATTGTATTTGTTAGGTTTCTCTGCATATGAAAATTTATTTATATATTATATATAAATACTGTATATTTCTCGCAACATTTAACGTTATTGAATAAATTTTTTGTATGTTTCATCTTAATTTCAATGACTAATATGAATGGTTAGTTGTTATTTGAATGTTGAACTATGGGTATTTAACCGGTCTCAGAAAGATAACGATAATGTTCATACACCCTATCGCTATTTCCGGAAATTTTGTCATTTAAACAATTCGATTTTTTTTAATTACATGTATATTAAGAAAATTTTATATTAATGAATTGGATTTAGATTTTTGTACTACATGCAGCACAATTTGAAAAATATACAGTGGCCTGCATAAATA